AAATAACATGGCTCATTCCAGAATAGACGAGGTAATAGCCTCTCCTTCGACTGGATAAATTTTGCCCTGTTGCCTTCAGCTACATACAATTGATCTAAAGAACATCAAGAAATCCTAAAAAGACTTTGGCAGCTGTTTATGAATAATTTGACTAGTAAAATGAGAGCTGTTCTGGCTTGCACAAATATATTAGCAACTGCGCATATATATGACATGTTTGCGAAAAATGAATTAAAAACATTGAATTAAATCCTATTATATGATTTATTCTAATAGGCACAATGTTTTACATTGAAAGGTTCCTGATCTTTTCTTCAGCCAGATTGATAAAGGTTTATTTTTGAGGCTGGTTTGGGGGTTTAATACCACTTTAAGGTACAGCATATCTAAAGCCAAATTGTTTGTGTCTTTTAACAGTAAAGAAACTTTATTAAAAGTTTTAAAGTTACTGTGTAAGTTTCACCACAAATCACAGTCAAGTATACAGAGTATAAACATAAGCCATGACATTTTGTATGCCCGTATTTAAAGAGCAAGTATCATCAACAATCTAGAAAATGTTTAAACCCTGGAGAAATATAAGAGGGAGGGAAGGGAGATAAGTTGGGAGGGGGGGGGAAAGAAGAAGGGGAGATGAGGTGGGATGGAGGTGAGGGGGATGTTCAAGTGGAATCTATACCTACAGTATGTGGACCAGATTTTGTCACATTTAGCTGGCAGCCTCTGCTCATGTTCATCATGGTAGTCCATGGAATTGTGCACCTGAAAGCCAGGCAACAGTCCATTATAGGTGGTGAGGATCGTTTCCATTTAAAAATAATTTGTCTTCTAGCATTAGTAAGATGCTTAAAATGAAGTCATTTTTCAATAGAGCTATGCAGGAGAATGCATATAAAGTTCTGACTTGGTGGTACAGGACACCTCTCCTTCGCAAGATCTACACCTAAATTTGTAATCTGTGTTGGAGGTGCAATGCAGAGGTGGGCACTATGTTGCATAATTGGTAGACATGCCCCAAAATAACAATCCTTCTGGTGGAACGTTCATGAGGTTGTTGCAGCTGTCACAACTGATGCGTTGGATTATTCTCAGGCACAATATCTCCTCCATAATACATCTCTGCCACATTAAGGCTACTCAAAATTACTTGCTATGTTCATGGTGAATGCTGCCAGACAGTGTATAACCATGCCATTGGCACTCAGCACACATCGGATTTCGACACTGAAGGAATGTTTTCACAGACTAAATTGCATAGGGGAGATTGAAGAGCTTATTCACATTTCTCAAGATAGACTTACTAAATTTATGACTACATGGTACTGTTTTGGACCCATTTCAAAACAACTCAACTTACAGTAATAACTAGCCTTATAACCGTGCATTGATTGGAGATGGTTACCTCCATGTGCTGCCGCCCTGTCCCAAAGAAAGCACGGGATAGGCTCGCTATCCTGTAAATATGGGAGAGCAGGTAGAAGATTGAGAGTGTGGACACCTTACTCCCATTTCTTTCCCTCTCGCTCACTTTTCCTTTCCCCCTTTATACCCCTGCACTGTTCATCTTGCCATTCAATAAAGCGTCTCCACTAGGATGATCGGAACCTATAAAACACACATAGCAAGCATGTAGACCCTATAGATGAACAAGGTTCCCTGTTTTATGGGCTACATTTCAATATCACTCTTCAAATGTGTACTGCCTTATATGATGTCCGTTCTTTGTTGTTTTTTGAAACTTATTTTATTTTAACTACTATTTTTTTTGTTATTTACAGTTTAACTAATCATGTTGAATGTGACCATTCACACCTTTTATTGTGCCTTATGATGTAATTTGTTATTGTACCTATCTTGCTCAATAAAGACTATTATAAAACAAAAAAAAAGCAGTTAATTTAGCGAGTTTGAATGAGGGGATTGGGGGGGATCTGTCCATATATACCACAGCAATAAGTCAACAAGAGGATCTGGTGTTAAGTAAGCGAGGGTGCCATTGTACAGTCTGACATGTGATTTGAGTCCAGTGAATCAATAACTAGGGGGGGGCAACTCCACAGCATGTGATAGAAGGTGCCAGTTGTCACCTTGACATTTGTTGCAAAGTAAGGAAAGGGCTGGGACTGATGTAGGTAGTCACTGAGGTGTGCAATATATCCATAACTGTAAAAATTCAATTGGACAGTTTTTGTCCTTAGCAGAGATCATGTGTTTAGTGGAATGAGCCATCAAATCCTCCCATTCCTCCTCTTAAAAGGGCATGTATATCATTCTTCCTCTTCTACAACAAAGAGGAGGTTGTATGACCGTGGTGTGTTATAAGGTGCTGAGTGTAGACTAAGGAGAGGGGTTTTGTCAGGGCTCCCAGGTATGACCCAAGGTGTGTGACTGAAGCACAGGAAACGCAGACCTCAGATATGTTATAAACAATATAATTTATTAACAAACAGTACAAACATAAACGCAGTGCAATACTAAAACATAAATACAGTGCAAACAAACAAACCAAACCACCCACAGATAACAGTTATATACAAGCAAGCGTCGTCAGGCAGGCCGGGTCAATATCAATTGGGCAGGTAGGTACAGGGGGAGCAAGCGGAGAATAGTCGGGGTCACAGGCCAGGTTCAGCAGGTAGCAAGCAGCATAGTACAGAGGGTCAGACAGAGGAATGGTCAGGGTCACAAGCCAGGATCAGAGCAGGAGAAGTCAGCAAAGGAACAGAAACAGGGATTGCAGGACAGATACAGGGCCCAGGACAAACACAACACCAAGGCAGAGTCTGCAAGTCTGGCCATCCCTTAAATACCCCAGCATCATCAGTTCCAGGTGTTAGCTGGCTGAAAGGTTGAGTCTCTGATTGCTGGGAGCACCCGCTGGCCAGCCCTGGTACTGCAGATCAAAAGGCAGGTGAGTCCCACCATTGCTGGCCATCCAGTCCTAACAGTACCCCCCCCCTCAAGGAGCGGCCTCAGGACGCTCCAAACAGTCCTAGCTGGGCAAAATGTTCCACCGCCCGGGTCTGGCAACTGGCGGGATATCAAAGACTGGCAACACCGGGCAGGACTCCCGGGCAGCGGCACACCGGGCTGGACTCCGGGCAGAGGCACATCGAGCAGAGGCACATCGAGCAGAGGCACACCGGGCAGAGGCACATCGGGCAGGACTCCGGCAGAAGGCACATCGGGCAGAGAGGCACATCGGCCTCCACAACCCAACCCAGGACTCCAGGCAGAGGCACATCGGGCAGGACTCCAGGGCAGAGGCACATCGGGCAGGATTCCGGGCAGAGGTACATCGGGCAGGACTCCGGGCAGAGGCACATCGGATTACCAGGCGAAGCGGCAGGCAGCGGGCCACCAGGCGGAGCGGCAGGCACCGGGCCCCCGGGCGGGGCGGCAGGCACCGGGCCCCCGGGCAGGGCGGCAGGCACCAACCGGGCCCCCCGGGCAGGGCGGCAGGCACCGGGCCCCCAGGCGGAGCAGCAGGCACCGGGCCCCCGGGCGGAGCAGCAGGCACCGGGCCCCCGGGCGAGAGCAGCAGGCACCGGGCCCCCAGACGGGGCAGCAGGCACCGGGCCCCCGGGGCGGAGCAGCAGGCACCGGGCCCCCGGGCGGAGCAGCAGGCACCGGGCCCCCGGGCGGAGCAGCAGGCACCGGGGCCCCCGGGCGGAGCAGCAGGCACCGGGCCCCCGGGCGGGGCAGCAGGCACCGGGCCCCCGGGCGGGGCAGCAGGCACCGGGCCCCCAGGCGCGGGCAGCAGAGCCACCGGGCCCCCGGGCGGAGCGACAGGCAACCCGGGCCCCCAGCGGGGCGACAGGCACCGGGCCCCCAGGCGGGGCGACAGGCACCGGGCCCCCAGGCGGGGCGACAGGCACCGGGCCCCCAGGCGGGGCGACAGGCATCGGGCCCCCAGGCGGGGCGACAGGCATCGGGCCCCCAGGCGGAGCGGCGGGCGCCGGACCCCCAGGCGGAGCGACAGGTCTCGGGCCCTCAGGCGGAGCGGGCGGGCGCCGGACCCCCAGAATGGAAGAGCGATAGGTCTCGGGCCCATCAGGCGGAGCGGCGGGCGGGCGCCGGACCCCCAGCTGGAGCGACAGGTCTCGGGCCCTCAGGCGGAGCGGCGGGCGCCCGACCCCCAGGTGGAGCGACAGGTCTCGGGCCCTCAGGCGGAGCGGCAGGCGCCGGACCCCCAGGAGGAGCGACAGGTCTCGGGCCCTCAGGCGGAGCGGCGGGCGCCGGACCCCCAGGTGGAGCGACAGGTCTACGCGGGCCCTCAGGCGGAGCGGCGGGCGCCGGACCCCCAGGTGGAGCGACAGGTCTCGGGCCCTCAGGCGGAGCGGCGGGCGCGCCGGACCCCCAGATGGAGCGACAGGTCTCGGGCCCTCAAGCGGAGTGGCAGGTGCCGGACCCCCAGGCGGAGCGAACAGGTCTCCGGGCCCCCAGGCGGGGCGGCGGGCACCGAGTCACCAGGCACAACAGTGGGCTCCGAGTCAACTGGGATGACCGCTGGCACTGGGTCAGACATTGGATCGTCTGGCTGGACAGCGGGCATCGGGTCACCAGGCAACAGGTCATTTGGCTCGACAGTGGGCACCCGCGTCATCTGGCAAGGCAGTGGGCTCCGAGTCAACTGGTATGACCGCGGGCACTGGGTCAGACATTGGATCGTCTGACTGGACAGCGGGCACTGGGTCACCAGGCATCAGGTCATTTGGCTCGACAGCGGGCACCGCGTCATCTGGCAAGGCAGTGGGCTCCGAGTCAACAGGCACGACAGTGAGCACCGGGGCATCAGGTACCAGATTGGATTGTCTGGCTCGACAGCGGGCATCGGGTCACCAGGTATGAACAGCGGGCACTGGGTCACCAGGCATCAGGTCATTTGGCTTGTCAGCGGGCACCGCGTCATCTGGCAAGGCAGTGGGCTCCGAGTCAACTGGTATGACCGCGGGCACTGGGTTAGACATTGGATCGTCTGACTGGACAGCGGGCACTGGGTCACCAGGCATCAGGTCATTTGGCTCGACAGCGGGCACCGCGTCATCTGGCAAGGCAGTGGGCTCCGAGTCAACAGGCACGACAGTGAGCACCGGGCATCAGGTACCGGATTGTCTGGCTCGACAGCGGGCATCGGGTCACCAGGTATGACAGCGGGCACTGGGTCGCCAGGCATCAGGTCATCTGGCAAGGCAGTGGGCACCGCGTCACCAGGCATTGGATCGTCTGGCTCGACAGCGGGCATCGGGTCACCAGGTATGACAGCGGGCACTGGGTCACCAGGCATCAGGTCATTTGGCTTGCCAGCGGGCACCGCGTCATCTGGCAAGGCAGTGGGCACCGGGTCACCAGGTATGACAGCGGGCTCTGAGTCAATTGGCACGACAGCGGCACTGGATCAGGTACCGGATCATCTGGATCAACAGCGGGCATCGAGTCAACTGGCCTAATAGGATCGTCGGGCTGGATCAGTTCATCCTGCTGAGTAGCGGCAATCAGGCTGAATGCAGGCATCAGGCCGAGTAGAGGCATCAGGCCGAGTAGAGGCTTCAGGCCGAGTAGAGGCTTCAGGCCGAGTAGAGGCTTCAGGCCGAGTAGAGGCATCAGGCCGAGTAGAGGCATCAGGCCGAGTAGAGGCATCAGGCCGAGTACAGGCATCAGGCCGCGTAGAGGCTTCAGGCTGAGGAGAGGCTTCAGGCCGCATAGAGGCTTCAGGCCGCGTAGAGGCTTCAGGCCGAGTACAGGCATCAGGCCGAGTACAGGCATCAGGCCGAGTACAGGCATCAGGCCGAGTAGAGGCTTCAGGCTGAGGAGAGGCTTCAGGCTGAGGAGAGGCTTCAGGCCGCGTAGAGGCTTCAGGCCGAGTAGAGGCTTCAGGCTGCGTACAGGCATCAGTCTGAACCACGGAAGGCAGGCTCACCGGTTTGGATACTGGCAGGATGGTATTGGTTGGAAAGAATTTTTGCTTTTTTTCTGGTTTTAACTACTGGAGCACTGCAAGTAAACGCAGGTCTGCAAACGAATGGAGCAGCTGGAGACAGAGAAGAACTGGAGGATGGAACAGGGAGAGGGAGCAGTTGCTACAGAGGGCTTTTTTACAGGGTTAAAGGCAGGATAGGTGCAGCGAGTGGGAACAGCGAGGGTACTGACATGCGGTAGATAGCCAAGTATACTGGGCTGTAACTGGAGGAGCTGGTGGGAATACAGGAGTAGAGTTAGAAGCAGGACTGGGTCTTTGTAAGCTGACTGAGGCTGGGTGCAACAAATCTGTCCATGTCTGCAGTAGGGGTTGAACAAAGCTGAGTTTACACAAAGTCTGTCTGGTCAATGATTGCACTGCGTTTATACAATCTCTCAGTGTCTGTGGTGAACATGTGGAATAACGCTCCAGAAAGTAACCCACATCATCCTCTAATAACCACACCAGGGACTCTACCTGGTCTGCACTAAATGGTGGCAAAAATTCATCCCTGCATTCGGGGAAACAGATGAAACCAACTCAACACAAACCTGAATCAATGGCTGCACCATAGAGAAAACTGTGCCCTGATCTACTAGAACATGAGCGAGCCGTATACATTCTAGCAGTTCATCCCGGGTATACTCCTTCAGAGTCTGATAAGCATACTCTCTGTCATCAAGCACTAGCAGAGATAAATACTCAACCTCATCTAGATCCATCCTTCCCATCAACAAGCCAAGATGGCTTCCCTGTGCAGCCACTTCTGGTCAGGATGGGCCTTGGTGTAATGTCAGGGCTCCCAGGTATGACCAGAGGTGTGTGACTGAAGCAGGGAAACGCAGACCTCAGATATGTTTATAAACAATATAATTTATTAACACTAACAGTACAAACATAAACGCAGTGCAATACTAAAACATAATACAGTGCAAACAAACCAAACCAAACCACCCACAGATAACAGTATATACAAGCAAGCGTCGTCAGCATGGCCGGGTCAATATCAATTGGGCAGGTAGGTACAGGGGGAGCAAGCGGAGAATAGTCGGGGTCACAGGCCAGGTTTCAGCAGGTAGCAAGCAGCATAGTACAGAGGGTCAGACAGAGGAATGGTCAGGGTCACAAGCCAGGATCAGAGCAGGAGAAGTCAGCAAAGGAACAGAAACAGGATGCAGGACAGATACAGGGCCCAGGACAAACACAACACCAAGGCAGAGTCTGCACAAGTCTGGCCATCCCTTAAATACCCCAGCATCATCAGTTCCAGGTGTTAGCTGCTGAAAGGTTGAGTCTCTGATTGCTGGAGCACCCGCTGGCCAGCCCTGGTACTGCAGATCAAAAGGCAGGTGAGTCCCACCATTGCTGGCCAGTCCATTCCTAACAGGTTTTGTCAGATCAGATGCTCTCAACATAGGTTCTAAGGGATACTATATAAAAAATAGGTTTTTGAGGGAATAGGGCCTTAATGGCATGGCTTAATTGAAGATATCTGAAGATGTACCAATTGGAAAGGTTGTATTCCTCTTTAATGGAGTCAAAAGTATGGCGGTCACCTGTCTGAAAGATTTGAGTGAGGGTTTGAATACCCATTCTCTGCCAAATAACTGGATCAGGAGTTGTAATTTAGGTGAGAAAGCAAAAGCTGTCCCAGAGAGAGTTATTAGGGGGACCAACCCATGAATTTGGGGCTAACATGAATCAAAGATGCCAGGGGTTCCATGGTCAAAGCAAAGAGGCCTGGAGACAGGGGGTAACCCTGTCTCATACCTCTATGTAAGACAAAAGAAGAGGCCAGAATATTGTTGCCAAACACTCTGGCTCTAGGGACTGAATATAATAACTTGACTCATTGTAAACAATTTAGGCTCACCAGCAAACCAATAACAGTAAATCGGTCTCCATATCACGTACCTGGTGATGGAGGCCAATGGAGAGAGGGCTCCCTTGCAGCTAAGTTCCAGACTCCCCTGAGAGTGGGACAGCGGGAGTCAGGCCCAAAGTTGCACAGGTCGCCTGTAGGACTGCTGGTTGATGGCCCACTCAGAAGCACAGCTGGTGCATGGGGATAAGGTGTGCAGACTGGAGGCACTGTGCATGGTATGCAAGCCTTCTGGGATTTGGATGTTTGCGAGTTAGTCAGTTCGAGCCAAGGTCAGGTACCGGGTGGAAACAGAACAGACGTGGTCAGGTGGGATAGCCGAGGTCATACACGGAGGAGCGAGAGAGAGAGTATCCTTTAGCCAAGCCGAGGTCAGATCAGGGGGTCAGTAGAGCAGACAGGTCCAAGTACAAGCCAGGTCGGAATCAGGAAGTCACAAGCCACAGGAAAACAGGAACAAACCACGGGGAGCTAGAGATCATCCAGCAACCAGAGGAAGTGATGAGCCTCCTTAAAAAGCACAGTCTGGCACCAGACTGAGGCTGATGTGTCCTTTTGCGGCCATGTAGAGTATTGGCAGAAATGCCAGAACTTTTGCTGTGGACAGGACCCTGACAGTGCCCCCCCCCCCCACAGGGCAGCCTCCGGATGCCCACCTGGGCCATCTTTTCAGGATACTTAGGAGTGAAATTCTTGGAGAAGCCATGGGGGTATGAGTATATTCCCTTTTGGTTGCCAGGACTTCTGCTGTGGACAGGACCCTGACACTCCACCTGTTGTTGGAGGCTGGGAAGGTATATAACCCTTTTCCCCTAACTAAATGCACTGGCTCTGTCCAGTGCCTGTGTGCTGTACGATTATTAATGTGCTGCTCCTGACTGATCCTGATTTCTGCTCCAATACCTGCATTCTGTGGCCTGCTATTTCATACATGCTTCCCTTGTTCTTGATCCCAGTTTTGGCCTCCCTCCTGATCTAATCCTTGCAGCTCCTGTCTCACCCTGTTTATCTGTGTTACCCATTTTGTACATATCATATTATAGTTAGGTTGCTAGTTAGGTTTTTTTTTTCACCTGGTTATGGTTCATGTACATCTTCATTCTTGCTGAGTATTCTTTTTTTCAGGTGCTGGATGGGTTTGGTTTCATTATTTTTAAATCATTACTTTAATCAAACGCAGTCTGGTTTCAGTTGCGCAAGTACAGCTACACTGAACTGGTCACCTGCTGTTGCTGGATACCTGCACTTGGTACCCACACCAATAGTGCTGCAGAGAGAACTGAACATAGGGTCCACTTGAGTGTGTGGAAATCCAAAACCTGGAAAGTCCTCTATTGCTTATTTCTCAGGATTAGTGAGGAGTGTAAGCTCCAGCAGAATGGGGCATGATCCAATATATCCTGGTGCAAGATTTCAGTGGATGTGACCTTAGTGAGCAAGGCTGAAGTGGCATATGCTACAACAATTCTAAAAAAGTTTTATAGGCAGTAGAGTGGCAGGTATAGGCTGTGGTCATGGGATGTTCCCATCATCAGAGGTCAATAAAGGAGTAAGTTTCTATCCCATCTACTAACACCGTAAACCATCTCCAGGTGTGCGGGTGAAGTCTGTCTATAGATGGGGAGGGTGTCAGAATAAAGTTCCCCATCAACAGTACCCCATCTGCAGCACTCGTAGCCCACTTGAGGCATAATTTTAAAAATAGATGATGCACGTTAGCAAATGGTGGCAGATAAAATCCCCCAAGTACAATTTCTATCTGGAATACAGAAGCATAGTAATAGAAGGCACATACCTTTTCCCTCTGGATCAAAAGCAAGTTGAATAAAGTGAAAGGGAATCAACTTATGTAAGAGTATGCTAACTCCACACATGAGTATAGTAAAGTAGTTTGATAGTGGTGAGCTACACATTTTTTGAGGTCCCAAATCTTCCCTCCATACAGATGCATTTCTTGAAAAATACAAATATGGGAAGCATACTTTTAACAGAAATTGAAAACCAGAGAGAGCATTTAATTTTAGAGTTAAGCCCTCTGGTGTTCTATGAAATTATCTTAAGCTTGGCCATAACAATAATGTGGTGCAAGGTAGTATATGGGAAGCATGCATAAGAGGATCCAGAGGAGAGACATGATAAGCATTGAGAAAGACAGTACGTACATATAGTTCAACAGAGGCATACAAACATGAATCAAAAGGCACTTTAAGATTGTGGTACATGATGACAGACATAAAAAATCTCCCATTTCCCTTCCTTTTCTTAGTAATCTTTTTAAAAGCCCTATACGTGAGATCAAGCTGCTGGCCCAGCGTGAACAACCCAGCACCTTCTCTGTGGGTCTGGCTTTTGTCCTAGACTATTAAGATTGAGATTACATGTACATGGTGCACAACTAAGCTCAGTGAATTGTTTCAGAACAGAGCCAACAGTTCACTCAGCGCGTGTATATTTCAAAGGAGCTTTATCACATAGCAGTACAATTAATTACACGAGGGGTTCGAGGGCCTGCCAAAGAAAAAAAAATGAAAGGGTTTCCTCAAAGAAAAGTTTCTTGGAAACATGTGAGGGTAAAAAAAAAACGTTTTTTTAATTTTAAAAATTTAAATAAAAAGCATTTACAGGGGCCCAAGATAGCATAAACCCCCCTTTGATTGAAAGCTCCTTGAGGGTTAGGGACTGATGGGAAATTTACAATATATATTTTAAAGGCCCCTGGGGAAAAATTGCGGCGCTATAAAAAAGTACCTGAAAAATTTGATCAACAGGAGGGGCAGTCCCCCCAAAATGAAAAGGATAGGTTACCCCTTTCTTCTTC